ACTGCTCTGGCTGCCTCCTGTTGCATTCTGGGATTTGCAGTTTAGGGATAGGCATTTAGAATTGTCAGCCAGAGAGTTCTTAGGCCTCATTGAACTACAACCCTCAGAATGCTACAGGAGGCAGCCAAAGCAGTAAAAGTAGAATAGCATCACTGTAAGAGTGTAGTGCAGTAATCTAGATAGTTTATATCTAGATCAGGGTTCGGCAAGTTCCCCTTACCTGGGGCCGGTCATGGGATCCTTGGGTCTTCCGCGGGCCGATGGTGGTGGTGGTGAGAAAATGGCGGCATGCACACGCGTGCAGCCCCCGCTGCCACGCGCGCTACCACCACGTGCGTTGCGGCCACCATTTTGTTTGCGGCGGAGGCAGGGGTCGGCAGGGGCCGGTCCAAAGGCCTTGGGGGGGCCGGACCCGGCCCACGCCCCGTAGGTAGCCGACCCCTGATCTAGATAGTTTTGAGAAGAAGGGCTTTTTGCCTTCAAAATAACTGAGCTGCTCCCTGATCTGAGCTGTGTGATCAAAGAGTCAATATTGTCCCCCACAATCTTGCATGCTTTTTCCTGTGTCCAGCCAGGCAGACTGCTAGAGGAAGTGTGGCAGTACAGTTGAGCATCAGTTATCTGCAAGAGAAAGCTATATGAGATGCACAGCAACACATAGCAATGAAACACAAGCAAGGGGTAGTGAATCGGAAAAATGCCTGGCTATTGGAAATGGGAGGATGGGGATTTGAAGGTGGTGATCATGCAGAGGTAATTCCTGACATAACTATGCAATGCACAATTTGGAAGTACAGTAAAAAAAATGTGGGTGGAAGAATTACCTATGTACTTTGAGGAATATAGTCACAACACATGCACACACACAAACATTTGTGTACTTCCCATCCCCGCAATGTTTTAGGCTAGTGGTTTAAAGGGACAAGATGCTTTGGCGTTTCCTGCAAGGTTCAGGAGACATGTGGTGAATTAAGGAAGCACAGCAAGCAGAAATGTTTAAATGAAAGTGCTTACCAGCATTATTCTGTGAAACAATTACTTAAATATACTGTCATAACAAAAGCCTGCAAGTGCTATTCTATTACATAAATACTCGTTTTCTGCCATTGCAAAAGCCTACCAACAATATGCTATTATTCAAATATTCACATATTCTGTTATTACAGAAAGGGAGTATACCTTGATCTGGCTGTCCCCTCTAATGCACACACTGCATCAGGTGGTGGATACTCCCCATGATCTGCTGCACATATTAGAGAAGAGATCCCTGGTGGAAGGTTATATAATGAGAAGCTGCTTCCTCACGAGGAAGATGAGGGCAATTTCCCCATCATGTAACGTTGTATCAGGGCAATGACCCACAGTGCTCCTGGAAATGAAAGTGATGTTGGGGCCTTGTGAGTCAGATTGCTCAGCATCACTCATACATTGAAAATGTTTCCCACTACATGGAGGGGAACAAAAGCACCTACTTTGGGCTCCACCATCCAATACAGCCCTGAATTCCCTCTAGAAGGAGAGAAAAGTTCCTTGGAGCCCTCTACCAGGGGGGCATCGTACATTTGCTGCACACTGGGAGCCTGCCTTATCAGAACCAGGACAATTGCTGTACTGCAAGCGACACACTTAGGGTATATTATGCCATCTCCACTGCGAAAGTTGTGCAGTTCCTCATAAAAGGGCATATTGACTATGCCACTTCCACTTGCAACTTGTGATCATGCACTTCCCAGTAGTGCTGTTGGAGAGCATTGCTTTTCATTCTACACTTGTTGGCTTCCTTCAGTTGCTCCTGAACCTTCACTTCACCTCAAA